GGCTCTGTCTCAAAAAAAAAAAAAAAAAAAAAAAAAAAATAGCTCCACTGGAGAAAGTCTGTCTGTACATATTAGTTAATTCTCTCAGCTGCAATCTGAGACTACATATATATCTGAGCTCAATCTAAGACCATATATATATGTTATGTATATCTTCATTAAAGTTATATATGAACCACAATTGGCTGTGTTTGGTAACTGATAAAGTTGAGTGATGGGGATATGTGAATTTGTTATATAACACTATTCTATCTCCTTTTGTATATGCTTAAAGATTTCTACAGTAAATTAAAAAATGATATAGCTTTCTTCCTCCTTAGAAAAGTAAATACATACAAGTTAAGCACTTTACCATGAAATTTCTTTATTTGTGGAAAATAAAATGACTATCATTTTAAAAAAGTTATTTTATGAAAGAGCACTGAAAGACTATCAAGTTATGTGTTACAGAGCCGAAGAACATACAAGCAGACCAACATTTCTAAGAATTCAGACTTTGGGGTGGTGCCTGTGGCTCAGTGAGTAGGGTGCCAGCCCCATATACCGGAGGTGGCAGAAGTTCAAACCCAGCCCCAGCAAAAAACTGAAAAAAAAAAAAAAAAAAAAAAGACTTGTTCTGAGCCTTCTGCCTAAGGATTCATGTATTCATAATAAAAACATCTTTCTTAAAAAAATAAAATAAAATAAAAAGAATTCAGACTTTGATAAAGGTTGATTTTCATTGGCTACATTTTCTAGTTTTTTTTAAAGAGTTGAATTCTGGGCTCAGCACTTATAGCTCAAGTGGCTAGGGCACCAGCCACATACACTGGAGCTGGCAGGTTCGAACCCAGCCTGGGCTTGTCAAAACAACAATGACAACTACAACAGCAGCAACAACAACAACAAAAATAGCCAGGTGTTGTGGCAGGCGCCTGTAGTCCCAGCTATGTGGGAGGCTGAGGCAAGAGAATCACTTAAGCCCAAGAGCTTGAGGTTGCTGTGTGCTGTGAAGCCATAGCACTCTACCAAGGGCAACATAGTGAGATGTCGTCTCAAGCAAAAAAAAAAGAGCTGTGGAGGTCTTGCTACATTGCCCAGGCCAGATGTGAACTCCTGGGCTCAAGCAATTCTTCCACCTTAGCCTCCTGACTAGCTGGGACTATAGGTACCTGCCACTGTGCCTGGCCTCCACTGGCCATTATAAAGTATCTCTGGCTCATAACTGGCCCTGCTTAATGCAGGAGCTAACAAACTGTGGAAGAATCTTTAGAACACTCAGCCAATGTGTCAATTAACATAAAAATTAATCTCATGTTAGAAGTCTCCTGTTTACCTTAAAAACTGACTTTTTTATAGTTAATTTTAAATAATTAATTTCACTTTATGATCTAAGGTATTTATTAACTTCTTCCAAAATTCTGTTGATAAATTAAGAAGTACCAACCTCTGCCCAGGCTTTTAGCACAGCTAAGATCTCCATGGTAGAAGCACTTTCATTATATAAATGACTTACAGCTTCTTTTCCAGCCTGTATTTTTGTTAATGATGAAACAAGCAACTGATGAACTCTTCGGAGATCATTAAGGTCACTTACAACTCCACTTGTTATCCAGGCACTGCAGACCTAGTTTTTTAAAAAATCAAATGTTACACTTAAAAATTATAAATATCTCCCTTGTGAGTTCAGCAGAGCTCACCCATATCTCAGAAATCTAGCCACTATAACCATGTTGTGATCAAGAATTTCAACGAAATGAGGCTGTTAATGATAGTTAAAAGCCAGCTTTTCAAAAGGGAATGAGGTCTAAGGATGAAACAAGGAAACCAGTGCAATTAAGTATTTAAATTAAAGTTTTAGATGTATTAGTATGGGAAAATGAAGCCATAAAATCATAATCATAAATGTTTTAATATTTAAATTAAACCTCTAGTCTTGATTATTATATTATTTTTTTTGTCACCCTTGGTAGAGTGCCATGATGTCACAGCTCACAGCAACTTCCAATTCCTGGGCTTAGGTGATTCTCCTACCTCTGCATCCTGAGTAGCTGGGACCACAGGTGCCAACCACAATGCTCAGCCATTTTTTTGTTGCAGTTTGGACGGGGCTGGGTTTGAACCCACCACCCTTGGTATATGGGGCTGGTGCCCTACTCATTGAGCAACAGATGCCGCCCTAGTCTTGATTATTTTATCTCGTTATTTTAAAAGTAAAGTTTTTTTTTGAGACAGAGCCTCAAGCTATCCCCCTGGGTAGAGTGCCATGGCATCACAGCTCACAGCAACCTCCAACTCCTGGGCTCAAGCGAGTCTCCTGCTTCAGCATCCCAAGTAGCTGGGACTACAGGTGCCCGCCACAACGCCCGGCCATTTTTTTTTTTTTGGTTGCAGCCATCATTGTTGTTTGGCGGGCCCGGGCTGGGGATTCGAACCCACCACCTTAGGTGTATGTGGCTGGCGCCTTAGCCGCTTGAGCCACAGGCGCCGAGCCTAAAAGTAAAGATTATATGGCTAACGTAAACTTAGTTAAAAGATAAAGCATTTGGCTTGGTGCCTGTAGCTCAGTGGCTTGGGCACCAGACGCATACATTGAAGGTGGCGGGTTTGAGCCCAGGTCGGGCCTGCCAAACATCAATGACAACTACAACCAAAAAAAAAAAAAAAAAAAAATAGCCAAGTGTTGTGGCAGGTGCCCGTAGTCCCAGCTACTTGGGAGGCTGAGGCAAGAGAATTGCTTGAGCCCAAGAGTTTGAGGTTGCTGTGAGCTGTGAACCACAGCACTCTACTGAGGGCAACATAGTGAGACTCAGCCTCAAAAGAAAAAAAAAAAAAGAAAAGAAAAGAGAAAAAGAAATGGTAAATGGTAAGCTGAGATTCATAGTAAAACAACTATAAAGAAGAGCCTTGGTAACAAATAACTACAGGATTGCTCCCTAAGACTATTTCTTAAGCTTTACCTTTTTAGTCATTTACCTGACATGCTTTGGCAGTGACATCAGGTGGAGTCTCTGAAGTGAAGGCTGGTCTAAGTGCTGCTCCTACCTGGCACGAAATTATATGACTTAATTATAACACATAAATTATATCAAACATCAGTAAGTAAGATAGCACAACTTCTCCCTTTTTGTAAGGTTATTTGTTTATAACAGGTAGATATGAATTACGGGCACCTATTATCTTGCCCGTATCTTCCTGTGTTTTTGGTTAACAGCATCTCAAAGTTGTTTTTCCTTTGGAGAACTATCTCTCTTTCTAACTCTTAGTCCACATTGTTGCTATAGAGGTAATAGCACTGTCTGGCTCCAGGGACCCACACTGGGATAATGAAAGCTCTCAAGGTTTTGCCAGGAATAATCAGAAAGAAGAACTGTCTCTTTATAAGGCACTAGGTGTTAAGAGAGCCATCTTGATATCACTTGGACAGAAAACTTGAGAAACAATTCAGTGTAGGCTCAGTGCCCATAGCTCAGTGGTTAGGGTGTTGGCTATATATACTGGGGCTGGCAGGTTCAAACCCAGCCTGGGCCTGCTAAACAATGACAACTACTACAACAACAACAACAAAAATATCCAGGCATTGTGGTGGGTGCCTATAGTCCTACCTACTTGTGAGGCTGGGGCAAGAGAATTGCTTAAGCCCAAGAGTTGGAGGTTGCTGTAAGCTGTGAGACCGCTACACTTTACCCGGGGTGACAAAGTGAGACTCTGTCTCAAAAAAAACCCAAACAAAACCAAACCCCCCAAAACAAACAATTCAGTGTAGAAGAGTGCAGAGCCAACTAAGAAATTCCAAAAATAATTTTCCTTTTCTGCTTGAGTTGTAATTGTATTTCTAGCACGTGGAATTATAAGAGGGCTAAAAATGAAACAGAGTTCTCCTAAACAAAGTTGAATTTCAATACTTTATTCTAATATGACAGTTCTATGTAACTTCAATTCCTTCCTTCTGCTTTCACCCTAAGCGTACATTGGCATTATCAACTAGGAAGGAGTGACTGAGACTGCCCTGTCTCTCTAACTGCCAGGCCTCAGAAGCTGCTTTTGAATCTCAATGAGAGATACCCTTGGTTGAATGCTGCCAGAGGATTACAAGACAGGTGATGATTTTGTCTTCCTTGCTCAGTGCACAATTAATCAGTTAAAAATACTATAGAATGAGTGAGGCTCGGAGCCTGTGGCTCAAGTGGCTAAGGCGCCAGCCACATACACCTAAGGTAGCGGGTTCGAATCCCCAGCCCGGGCCCGCCAAACAACAATGATGGCTGCAACCAAAAAATAGCCGGGCGTTGTGGCGGGCGCCTGTAGTCCCAGCTACTTGGGAGGCTGAGGCAGGAGACTCGCTTGAGCCCAGGAGTTGGAGGTTGCTGTGAGCGTGATGCCATGGCACTCTACCCAGGGGGATAGCTTGAAGCTCCATCTCAAAAAAAAAAGAATGAGTGAAAGAAACTGGAATCCTTTCCTAAGACTAGGAAAAAAAAATGGATGTGGTTATATATACCATTCTATTCCAGAGTAATGATTCACTGATAAAACATGCATGTAGCCTAAATAGAATATTTAGTAGTGATTTGGTACTATGTTGTTTTTTCAGACATTTTGTGAAGGACTTCATCACTAAAGTCTCCTATTTCCCCAAATTAGGAAGAAGGTTTTATTTATTTATTTATTTTTGAGACAGAGTCTCACTATGTTTTTTTTTTTTTCAGAGACAGAGTCCCACCTTGTTGCCCTCCGTAGAGTGCCGTAGTATCACAGCTCACAGCGACCTCCAGCTCTTGGGCTTAGGCGATTCTCTTGCCTCAGCCTCCCCTATAGCTGAGACTACAGGGGCCTGCCACAACACCCAGCTATTTGTTTTTGTTTGTTGGCTTGTTTAGCAGGCTCAGGCCAGATTCTAACCCACCAACCCTGGTGCATGTGGTGGGTGCCCTAACTGCCGAGCTATGGGCCCTGAGCCTTTAAGAAGGTTTTAATTATAAAGCTTAATCTTCAAAGTTATAAAACACCCGTTTTATGTACCACTTGGCTTTTACTTGAACTTTAATAAAATATTAGCTATCGTATTTATTCTTCAAACACACACATTTTCTATAATTATACTGTGGTCTGGCAGCAGAGATATATACAGGCAGTCCCTGGGTTACAAATATCTGACTTACCATACATCCTGCACTTAAGAACAGAGGCTATTACAGTAAATCCTTAAGTTACAAACATCTGACTGATGTGCATCTTGCACCTACGAATGGAGATCATTATTATAAGTTATGTACCTGTTCTGACTTACATATAAATTCAACTTAAGAAGAAACCTATAGAACACATCTTGTTTGTAACCTGCAGACTGCCTGTACTCATTTTTTAATTAATAGAGTCATGCCAGTAAATTTCACAGACTTTTTATCTCTATGTTTAACAATAAAATGCGCTAACAGAAAGTGCTTACATTGGCTTGATATTGTTCCAGAATCACATGACCTGGAAACTCTGGTTCTGGAATAGCTGCAAATTGCCGAATAACAACTAACAGTGTTTCGAGGCCAGAAAGACGGAGCTGGTCACTGTGGTCTGTGGCAGCCATAAAAGCCATGCGAATTAAATCAGCAAGATGTAGCACCAAAAAGTCATCTATAAGATTAAAAAATACATTTGAAGGGAAGGAAAGAAAAGATTAAAAAGTATCTCATTAAGAAAGACAATATGCTAGAACTAAGATTTATGTTAAGTGATAATTTCTCCTTTAACTTCATTAAGTACTTTTTTTTAATAGAGACTGAGTCTTACTTTATCACCCTCGGTAGAGTGCCGTGGCATCACACACCTCACAGCAACCTCTAATTCCTGACCTTAGGCGATTCTCTTGCCTCTGCCTCCTGAGTAGTCAGGACTATAAGCGCCCGCCACAACGCCTGGCTATTTTTTTGTTGCAGTTTGGCTGGGGCCAGGTTTGAACCCGCCACCCTCATTATATAGGACTGGTGCCCTACCCACTGAGCCTCAGTCACTGCCCAATAATGTACTTTCTTTTAAGTATCTTTGATTTTACTATACATCAAATATGGACTTTACAAGTGGATTTAATGCACATTGCAAATACACACAAAAAACTATCCCAAGGAAACAATTATATACAGGTATTCAAACACCAAAGGCAGAATTTATATCCTTTAAGAGTACAGATCACATCTTCAACACAAATTTTGTTCAGACTCTGATAAAAGTAGTTTAGTTGGTACTTAGGAGACTTTGGGGTATGATATATTAGGAAGTAATTTATTCTCTTTACATAAAATTGAATCCAAGAAACTTAAGTGTTCCTTTAAAAAAGGTTCAGGGCAGTGCCCGTGGCTCAAAGGAGTAAGGTGCTGGCCCCATATACTGGAGGTGGTGGGTTCAAACCCAGCCCTGGTCAAAAACTGCAAAAAAAAAAAAAAAAGTTTCTTGTGGTTCTTTATATGAACTAGATTATCTTATACTTGCATGTCTTGTCAAACATGCCAATGACGGAAGTAAAAAAAAAAACATTTCTAGCTATAGAAACGATAAATGACAATTTCTTTCATTCCTATAACACATTCTTTGACGTTATAATTCTCCAAAGATGTAAGAAGATCACTTAACAAGGTTCCAATAAAAAAATGTTTAGGAGGGCAGGACCTGTGGCTTGGTGGGTAGGGTACTGGCCCCATATACCAAGGGTGGCAGGTTCAAACCTGGCCCTGGCAGAACTGCAACAAAAAATAGCTGGGCGTTGTGGTGGGCGCCTGTAGCCCCAGCTACTTAGGTGGCTGAGGCAAGAGACTCACCTAAGCCCAGGAGTTGGAGGTTGCTGTGAGCTGTGATGTCACAGGACTCTACTGAGGGTGATAAAGTGAGACTGTGTCTCTAAAAAAAATAAAACAAGGGTGGTGCCTGTGGCTCAGTGAGTAGGGCGCCGGCCCCATATACCAAGGGTGGCAGGTTCAAACCTGGCCCTGGCCGAACTGCAACCAAAAAATAGTCGGGCATTGTGGCAGGCACCTGTAGCCCCAGCTACTCGGGAGGCTGAGGCAAGATAATTGCTTGAGCCCAGGAGTTGGAGGTTGCTGTGAGCTGTGATGCCCTGGCACTCTACCAAGGGCAATAAAGTGAGACTCTGTCTCTACAAAAAAATTTAAAAAAATAAAATAAAATGTTTAGGGCTACAACTAATTTTTACAGGTACCTTGAATATATGAGAATAAATCAAAGAAGAATGGAATTATAACTCACACTAAAGACACTAACTATTAGTAAGTACCAATTACAATTTTAATTGGGAGTACAAAAATCATTAAGTATCTAAGGCATACTAATTTTATACCTGTAAGTATCTAGCACAATGCTTATCACAAATAAGAGACTGAAATGCTTGTTTAAAAATAATTAAATCAGAAATATCTTATTCATACTCAGACAGGCAATAGTAATTCTGCTACTGTAATTCTTTTTTTTTTTCATTTTTTTTTATTGAATGGTAACTATGTACATTAATGCACTTCTGGGGTGCAGTGTGGGGTTTTCACATGCAATTGGAAATACTTCCATCAAACTGGTCAACACAGCCTTCACATCAGTTTCCCAGTTATTGTTTTAAAACGTTCACATTCTACTCTTAGAAAGATTCACTTGTACCCCTATAAGATAAACCTCAGAAGTGATCCCTCCACCCATTCCCCCCTCCCTTCTCCCCATATTCTTAGGCTATTTGGTTGTAGCTTTCATATAAAAGGTATAAATTAGTTTCATAATAGGGGTGTGTACGTTGGATACTTTTTCCTCCATTCTTGTGATACTTTGCTCAGAAGAACATTCTCCAGCTCCATTCATACTGTAATTCTTTTATATGGCAAAGAATATTTCTAAGGCACTTAGAAATAGGTACTGTTGGCTCGGCGCCTGTGGCTCAAGTGGTTAAGGCGCCAGCCACATACACCTAAGGTGACGGGTTTGAATCCAGCCCAGACCTGCCAAACAACAATAATGGCTGCAACCAAAAAATAGCCAGGCGTTGTGGTGGGCGCCTGTGGTCCCAGCTACTTGGGAGGCGGAGGCAGGAGACTCCCTTGAGCCCAGGAGTTGGAGGTTGCAGTGAAGCCATGGCACTCTACCCAGGGGGATAGCTTGAGGCTCTGTCTCAAAAAAAAAAAAAAAAAAAGAAATAGGTACTATCGGTTTGGCACCTGTAGCACAGTTACAGCGTCAGCCACATATTCCAAGGGTGGCGGGTTTGAACCCAAACTGGGACAGCTAAACAACAATGCTAACTGCAATCAAAAATAGCTGGGCATTGTGACGGTGTGAAGTGCCAGCTACTTGGGAGGCTGAGGCAAGAGAATCGCTTAAGCCCAAGAGTTTGAGGTTGCTGTGAGCTGTGACGCCACAACACTCTATCAAGGGCAACAGCTTGAGACTGTCTCCAGAAAAAAGAAATATGTACTGTCTTTGAACATATGTACATAAGGAAGTTTAAAAAAATGAGACATTAAAGCATAAATACAAACATAAATAGGTAAAAATAATAAAACTGAACAGTAATAGGTTAAAATGGTTTCACAATTAGAATAGCTTTATACAGAGATAGGCTCAAATGTGATCTAAATAATATCCATGACATCAAAACAATCTATAAACAAAAATTGGCATGAATTATAAGCCAGAAAATAATTTTGGGGAACTAGCTAATATACATGCTATTTCCCCAAAGCTGGTTACTCTCTACAAACTTAGCTCATTGCACACACATACCCATTAAATGAAACTTAACCATTAAAAAGGTACTAGCAATTCTGGTAGAATTCTCATGTGAAACAAACAAAAAAAAAAAAAAACGAAAAATGTACTAGCATTATAGCTTACATAAATATAATCACATTTCATAACTGATTTGGAAAAAAGAAAAGTTTTAGTTTCCTTTTAAAAATTAATAATAGGCTCGGCACCTGTGGCTCAAGCAGCTAAGGTGCCAGTCATATACACCTGAGTTGGCAGGTTTGAATCCAGTCTGGGCCCACCAAACAACAATGATGGCTGCAACCAAAAAAATAGCTGGGCGTTGTGGCGGGTGCCTGTAGTCCCAGCTACTTGGGAGGCAGGTAGGTGAATCCTTTGAGCCCAGGAGTTGAGGCTGTTGTGAGCTATGACGCCAGGGCACTCTACCCAGGGTGACAGCTTGAGGCTCTGTCTCAAAAAAAAAAAATTAATAATAGGCTCGGTGCCTATAGCTCAGCAGCTAGGGTGCCACCCACATACACTGGAGCTGGCAGGTTTGAATCTAGCCCAGAATGCCAAACAACAATGACAACTACAACCAAAAAATAGCTGGGCATCATGGCAGGCGCCTGTAGTTCCAGCTACTTGAGAGGCTGAGGCAAGAGAATCACTTGAACCCAAGAGTTTCCGTTATACTATAAGAAATAATAAAGGAAATTTGAATGGGAAAAAACCAAAAAACTCAAGAGTTTCAGGGGTGAGCTGCAAGGCCATGGCACTCTACCGAGAGTGATATAGTGAAACTCTGTCTCAGAAAAAATAAAAAAAATAAAAATAATAAAAATAAAAAATAAAATAAAATAAAAATTAATAATAAAGGGTGGTACCTGTAGTTCAAGCAGCGAAGGTACCAGCCACACACAACAGAGCTGGCAGGTTGGAATCTGGCCCGGACCTGCCAAACAATGAGAACTACAACCAAAAAATAGATGGGCGTTGTGGAAGGCACCTGTAGTCCCAGCTACTCGGGAGGCTGAGGCAGGATAATCACTTAAGCCCAGGAGTTTGAGGTTGCTGTGGGTTGTGACTCCACGGCAGTCTAACCAGGGCGATAGCTTGAGGCTCTGTCTTAAAACAAAACAAAACAAAAATTAATAATGGGGGTGGCACCTATGGCTCAAAGGAGTAAGGCGCTAGCCTCATATACCGGAGGTAGTGGGTTCAAACCTGGCCTCGGCCAAAAACTGCAAAAAAAAAAAAAAAAATTAATAATGAAGGGCGGTACCCGTTGCTCCGTGGGTAGGATGCTGGCCACATACACCCAAGGCTGTTGGGTTGGAACTCAGCCCAGGCCAGCTAAAACAATAATGACAAATGCAACAAAAAAATAGCTGAGTGTTGTGGTGGGTGCCTGTAGTTCCAGCTACTTTGGAGGCTGAGGCAAGAGAATCACCTGAGCCCAAGAGTTTGAGGTTGCATTGAGCTGTGACATCAGGGCACTCTACCCAGGGCGACAGTTTTTCTTTAAAAAAAAAACAATCCAACAACAACTAATAATAAAACTATAAGGAGACAGCATTTCTATAAATATATCAACTAATTTTTCCATTACTATGCTACTTACTTCTTGAATCCTTTTTTTTCATATCTTGTGCTAAAGCAAAGTCAAAATGTGCAATGTTCGCATTCTCACACTGGTTAATTATCCTGCAGACACATTCAGCAGCGAAAACTCTAGTGGCCCATCGGGGATTGGTAAAAGGATGGGATTTTTCATGATTTCTGGTGGTCAGGACTGAGGCATCATCTCCTTTATCTCCTTCTTCCTCTTGCATTGTATCCACACAAATTACAGTTGAAAAATCTTTACATCAAGGGAGAAAACAGGTAATTATAATCAACTGGGAGATATATTTACAAAAGAACACAAAAATGACTTCAAATTCTGACTAGAATTACTATTGTTCAATTGTACATCTTTTTGATTACATCAAATAATTAGGTATAATAACTACGAATAGGCTTGGCGCCTGTGGCTCAAGCGGCTAAGACACCAGCCACATACACCTAAGGTGGCGGGTTTGAATCCAGCCCAGACCCGCCAAACAACAATAATGGCTGCAACCAAAAA